ACGTGGTTCCCGTTCCGTAAGGGTTACCCGTTCCGTTTAACCGTTAAGTACCACCCTCCTACAAAATAAGGGACCCCCACCCTACACACACACACACACACACACACACACACACACACACTCATCCTCCACAAACCACATTACTACAGAGTAACAAGGGTCAAAATGTGGACTTTGCAGTGACATTTTTCTTCAGAGATGCAAGCTGTCAGCTCTGGATATGTCTCCACTTGTCCAAGATACTAAAAATGATAAAATCAGATGTACATTTTTAGAACAGTATATGAGTAAAGACCAGAAAAACAGCCTAAAGCCCTGGTACCAACAAAACTCGGTGTGTCTGAAGGAATGTCCTTAGTGAAGACACACGGGCAGGGCCAGCACCTTCCCAAAAGTCAAAGTGGCTGAGGGAGACCCACAGGCCATGATCTCTGTCCACCCCAAAGAGCAGCTGACAAAGCAAATTGTGTCTACATGAGATGGGGGGAACTCATGCCGGGGTGCAGGAAACCTACCTGGATGCACAACACTGGGTGGCTGGGCACCGGGGCGGGGGGGCGGGGCTAGGGGCGGGGTCGGGGGACAGGGAGAGGCCTGCATCCCTACAAATGATGCTCAGGACAAGGCATCTGTGAAAGCTGGCCTTCACGTCCTCAGTCTTGAGGTCAATGTCCTTTTCAAAACAAACTTAAATAAGGTAAAAGCTGGTGTTCTTTACAGTAGACGCACCTGGGAGCCAGAGTAAAGCCTCATCCCGCTGCGTCAGGGTGTGACCGACACACAAGGAGGCAGCGCTGCAGTGCTGGGAAGATGAGGCATTAAGTAGCAGTGAGCCAGAGGAGAGAGGAGCCCTGCCCTTCTCCAGTCCTGCTGGTTGCTCAGGAAACACACCTGGGTGTAGCACTGAGCGCTCAACACCTCTCTAATGCTGGGACAGGCAGCGACATCCAGGCTGACAGGAACACTTCTTCCTTCACACTGTCTTTATTTTCACAGTTACCTGTTATTTAAGCCAACTAACAGTGGCTCTCCAGTTACAGTAATCATATAAAGTTCCCTTTCTAAATAAAGGCATTCAGGTTTTTTAAGTGCACCCATTTAGGAAAAAAAAGTCAGGGTCGGTAACGGTAACGGTACTGTGGGGAGTAAGTAACTGAAACCCAGCAAGCTGAGTGCTCTTCCGGCCCGTGTGCCCCACGTGCTGGGGATCCTTAAACTTCTGCTCAGCTGAGCCCGAGGCTGAGAAGCACCACCATAAACCACACGCTTTCATTACACACAGTGAGACCAGTCAGTGCCAACACCCCAGCTCGCAGCGCCCACCCAGCTCCTTCCTCACCCTTGAATTAGAACACTGGCTGCCCCCCACCTCCACTCTTCCTTCTGCAGGCATGAAAACCCTAACTTTTTTTGAGGAGGGGCCAGGATACATTGCCTCCTTAGCAGCCAGGGGAGGCCTTGGAACTGATGTTGGCCACATGAGTAGGAAACTCTGTGCACCTTCTAGGAAGGATCCTTACAGATGCCGGGGCCGGGGTCGGGGTGGAGCGGGGTCAGCTTTTTTGTACCGTGAACCCATTCTGCAGTCTGTGAAGCCATGGGCCTCCTTTCAGAAACAGTTTCAAAATGCATAAAATAATGGAGTGCATATGGTTCAGTGGTAGAATGTGTGCTTAGCATGTACGAGGTCCTGGGTTCAATCCCCACTACCGCCATTAAAAAAAACAAAACTAAAATACATAAAACACCCAAGATTACAAAGGAAACTGATTAGATTGACACATAATGATCAAAATGTACAAAATAAAAGTAAGAGTAATACATAGGATTATTTATCACCACATTAAAAAACTACCGTATTTTCCAGCATAAATGACATTGTGAGTTTTTTTTGTATCACCGTTGTTAAAGGTGCCTGTGACCTCTATCGGTGACAAAGTCACCCATTTTGCTAAGACCACCAAGGTTTCCGTGGTTTGCTGCTACTTTCATAATTAAAGAAAACGCAACCTAAGTGTCCATCAGCAGATGAATGAACAAAGATGCGGTGTGTATATATGACGGAATACAACTCAACCATAAAAAATAATGAAATTTTGCCACTTGCGACAACATGGAGGGACATACAGGGTATTTGCTTAGTGAAATAAATCAGATGGAGAAAGGCAAATACTGTATGTTATCACTTATATGTGGAAGCTTAACAATAAAACAAACAAATGAATATAACAAAACAGAAACAGACTCAGACATAAAGAACAGGAGGAGAGTATGTAGCTCATTGGTAGAGTGTGTGCTCAGCATGCACAAGGTCCTGGGTTCAATCCCCAGCACCTCCATTAAAAATATGAAACCTAACTAAACCCCCCAAAGTAGACAAAACAGATATAGACAATAAACTTGTGGTTATCAGCGGGGAGAGAGAAGGGGGAGGGACAAGATGGGGGGAGGTTAAGAGGTACACACTTCTGTGTAAAATAAACTATAAAGAGATATAGTGTAGTACAGGGAATACAGCCACTACATTACAGTAACTTTATATGAAGTATAATCTATAAAAACTTTGAATCACTATGTTACATACCTGACATTAATAGACTGGTAAACAACTACAATTTAATTTTAAAAATAAATTAAAACAACAAAAATAAAGGAGATACTAAATTTCAGTCAGAGGCTAGAGAAAAAAGCTCTAATTTCTTTCCCTATACAGGTTTCAGACCCCTGAATCCTACCAATGGAAATGGAGGAAGCCTCTCCTTTAACCCCTCCTTCCTCCTGATACCTGGGATGAGAATGGGATGGCTGGAAATAAGCAACTGTTTTGGAGTATGAGGCAAAATACAAGGAGCCCTGATCTCTGATGACCATGGAGCCACATACCAGCCCCAATCTATCCACATCTGGACAGAGAGATGAATTTCTATCACACTATGCTACTGTTGGTTGGTTTATTCTTTATAACATAAAGCCACTCAAACCTAATCTTATTTGTTATTTCTAATACTTTTGCTGAGTGGTGAGGTTGCAAACAGTTTGAACCTAATCATTAGCAACCTTCATTTATCTTTCAGAGAAGCATTCTTCCTTACTTACAAAAGTGATTCCTCCAGAGCTACAAAGGAAACCCAACTACAAAGCTCCTCTGTAGCTGACAGCCTTGGAGAAGGCAAACCGTGAAACCTTGAATAACAGAAGTTTCCCTCTGCCTCGGTGCTGCTCCACCTCTGAAGCATGGCCTTCAGAACATGCACACGCCCAAGTATTAAGCTTAACAGCTCAGAAATCTTACGACCACACACCACACTTCAAGTCCACAATCAGGTACACACACACCCGACTTTATCTCACACTCCGTGAAGTCCACGGTCACCGAGGAGCAGGCACAAAGCCACTGCTGTGATGTGAGGGCCCAAGAGTCATCCCAGTGTTGGCAGAAGCCACTCAGAAAGTACTTACTAACTGTCATCGACTCTGGCGCCGAGGCAGAAGGTAGCAAGCTGCTCAGAGGACTTCCTTGGCCTGGAGGACTTGTTTCCACACTGCAAAAGGCAGCAGAGGGAAGTTACACTCAGCCAGTTAAAACACACAACCTCACCATTCAAACAGATGCTAAGCTCATTCAGGTTTCCCGACGAGCAGGAAGAAAAGGCAGCCCTTTGAAATTAGTCAATCCTTCATTATTTGTGGATTCCGTATTTACAAATTCACCTCCTCCCTAAAGTTTACTTGTTATCCCAAAACTCAGTGCTCTCAGTGCTAACGCGGTCACCAGGACCATGTGCAGAGTGGCCAAAAATCTGAGTCACTGGACATATGTGCTCCCAGCCCACATCAAACAAGAGGAGTTCTGCCTCCTCCTTTCACTCTCATTCTGTAAGCGTGTCCTTCTGGTGGGCTATTCAGTGCCACGTTTGTCACATTCCTGTCTTTCTATTGGTGATTTTTGCATCTACAACGGCCCCAAGCGCAGTGCTGAGGGGCTGTCTGGCACTCCTAAATGGAGACTGTGATGCACCTTGTGGAGAAAATTTGTGTGAGGTCACCTTTGTTCAGGTGCTATTGGCCCCAAGTCCAATGATTCAACAATGTATGTGAAACAAGGTGTCTTTAAACAGGAACAGACATAAAACAAAGGTATGGACTGATCCCTTGACAAAAATGGTGTGACCAGATACGCCCAGGAACCTAGAAGCAATGGTTCTGTCTTCGAGGAGACTTTATAGAACATACTGCTGCAAGTAACAGGAGGTGACTGTGTATTTACAAAGGATCTGTAACACAGGAAAATAGCACTTAGCATCTGTCATGTAAACGATAGGACCATAATCTGGTTACCACACCCACACTCGGAGGAAAAGGACCAAAAACATCCTCGGTGAAGTGGAGCTGGGGTTGAAAGTGGTGTTTGTTCGTGTACTGCTGCATTTGCAAAATTTTCTAAAATAAACAGCAGTAAGGACTCAGCGTCCTGGCTGGAGCTGGCGACACTGATCGCTCCCAGCACTGCACTGACTGGTACACAGCGCCATTTTCAGAGAGCAGAGTCCAGTCTACTCAGGGTGAGAGCGTAACACCAGCGTGGCTGGAGGTGATCAGTGACCCCACCCTGGAGCCAAGGTTGAAAATGCAGGCTTGCTGCGTCCCTGGACAGCAAATTAAAACCACACAGAGAAAGAAGGAACAACTGTTAAGGGCGACAGGGATGGCAGTGGCACCAGGGACTCTTCAGCGTCCATCTCAGCTGTGCTACCAAACGTCCAGTGACTCTGGACCACACAGCTTTCCCTTGAGATACTTACATCTGAATAAAAGAAGACCAACGTGGTGCTTACTACTGAACGTCCGACAAAGCACCTCATGATATCTAAGCGGCTTAAATATTATATAATATTAAAACTGCAAATTATAATGTTTAAATTGTTCAACTGTTTATTACTATCAAATATGAAAATTAAGCAACTTATGATCGAGGAGGTCCCCAGATACGGCCCCACAAGTGGGAAAAGTAAAGGTGGTACGCAGATGAGGTGTGACGAACAGCACGCCTCATCCCACTTCACATTCTGGGATATAAGACCAAGCCTGAACTGAATTAAGGTGAAGCGAGGCCTCGTCCTTCAGTCCCAGCAGAGGCCCGCCTGTTTTTAAAAAAGAATGAAGTGCAGAGTTGGGAAGAGGACAGTTCAACCCCAGAGGCAGCTGGGTTTCTGAACACTAACCTGTACCGAGGTCCAGGCTCAGGGAGAACGTGGTCCTCAGGTCCCGCCCCATTCTCCAGGCTCCCGAGGGGGGCATCTGTGCACAGATGGCAATTGCAGAGACAAAGTTAGGTTTCTGTTCCCATTTCATTTTCTCCATGAGACAAGGACACCGTGCAGACACTGGCTCACCTGCTAAACCAGCTGAATTACAAATGTTTCCCCTTCTGTATGCTGGATTTTAACCTGCTACCTATTTCATTTCTTTCGGTCATAATCTCAGATTTGGCATCAGACACTACCTGGAGGCCCTATACTCCCACTCAACCTTTTTTTCACTGACATGTCACTGACACACAATACTCTGTTAGTTTCAGGTGTACAGCATAGTGATTCAATATTTACACGTATTACAAATTGATCACCACACTAAGTCTAGTAACCATCTGTCACTGTACAAAGTCATTACAATGTTACTATGTTCCCTATGCTGTACGTTATATACCCATGACTTATTTATTAACCTTTTTGATCTTGAGCCACATGGAATTATGCGTGAAGTCCGTATCCAGAGCCAACTTCAGAATCAGGGAGTAATAAATTTGCTCTGTTGGACACAACAGCTCCTGCCTGCAGTGGCTGGAGATGGACACGAGAGGGCAGCACTGTCCAATCGCTGACAGCGTCTGCTCTGTCAAAACCAAGTGACGGCTGCTTTCTAAAGAGCCACTTGCTCTGCATGGAGTGGCCTGTGAGAAAGGCATTTGGAAGAAGTGAGGCCATAAATCATCTCTAGAAACAACAGGCAAGAGGCACTAAAGACTTTCACAAATGTATCAGCTGCTGTTCAAGTCTCTTTCCAGGAAAAAGTGCAAATCCATGCCCTGGGGCTGGATGGTGACATTAAGGCCAATATCGCCCAGGAGGACACCTGCATGTCGGAGAAGCTTCTGGCTGTCAACGCCCACCATCAGGCTTGCATCAGGGCAGGGGACACAGGGAGAGAAGGGCACAAGTTCCCCCTCCCATGCCATCTGTCCTGTGACCTCCTCCACATCACTCTTTCCATTTACATCTGGTCTCGTCCTGCTCACGATGCCCCAGCTCTTAAGGAGCTGAACAAAGAGAATCCTAAGGGGAAAAATGTTTTACCACCTTTTCTTCTACCCTGCTGTCCCCGCCAAGCTATTTCACTCACTCCTACCACTTTTAAGAAGTCCGAAGGGGCACGAGAAAGCATCCTCTCTACCTCCTCGCTCCCTAGAATCAGGGCGAGTTTAGGGTGCAGGCTCTGCCCGCTTGCTTGGGTTCAAGTCTCTGCTTCCCAACTTTAATTCAGTAAAGTTACCCAGCCTCTTTGTGACTCAGTTTCCTCATCTGTGGAATGGGCTGACACTGGTGCCTACTATAATGTTAGTAACACCCACCACACAACTAAATTTCACACTCAGACACACGTACACTTCAGAGAGAGCACGCAACGAGTGGGGGCCGGCATCAGCTCACTCTGCAGCCACGCCTGGTACCACAGCACTCCTCCTCCTCCTCCCAGGCAGTGGGCTTGCTCTCAAAGGACCCCAAGGAACTCTTCCCTCGGTGCCCCTCCCGCCTTCTCCTAGGAGCTCTCTGCTCTCAGCTTTCATAACACTATGGTCCTCCTCTGCCCACTGACTTTTTCTCTGATTCCTGTGTGAAGGTGTCTCCACACGGCTCCACGGCCTCTGACCTCCTTTGCAAAGCTGGCAAGGTCCCGGCTCCAGCTCTTACCTCCATGAAGAGGACAACTCTCAAGCCCTCACCTCTGGCTAGGCCCTCAACCTTGAACTCCATCCCCACATTTCTAACTGCCCACCAGAAAGCTCTCCTGGGATACCCTACTGGGCCTACCAGCTGATCATGACCTTCCAAACTGCTCCTACTGGGCTGTAACCTCAGAAAACCATGGTACCCACCCTCCCTCACATCCCAGAGCTGGCTGGGGTCCAAGACCCATCAGTTCCACTCAGTCATCTCCCACGCCATGCTCCCCAGCCGCCTGCACTGCCACCGTAGTTCAAGGGCTCGCTATCCTGCAGGGGTCTTCTGCAGCAGGTCCCCTCAGCTCTGTCTCAGCCCCTAATCTGACTCACACACGGCTCCCTAAGGCAGAGACGAGGACTCCAATATACACAACAGAAGTCCATGGCTGGAGTAAAGGCTGATATCACCGACCAGCATTTCAGATACCACACCTACTCGGCCCAGGTGGATCTCCCACTGGAATACATGACCGTGACCCCATGACAGCTGTGGTGGGCCCGATGCACTGGGGCCACAGAGCAATCACAGAGACAGCCCACGTCACTCACCCTTCAAGTCCTCTCTTCCTTTGTCCCCAACCAGATGTCATTTTTCCAACTGCCAGACGTCTGTCTGCTCCCTTCAGCCTGCCCACACCCCCACCCCTGGATTGACGTGCTCACCTGAACCCCAGCTCCGGACCTGGCTCTGGCCAGGGTCAGGGTCACACTGGAATCAAGGAAGGCGTGGTCCTGCCCTCATGGACCTCACAGACTAGTGGAGGGGCAGGTATTACCAAGCAGTTACACAAATTCACGACTATAGATAACAAACAGGGGTTAGAGCAACGGAAACAGGTTTACCAGGATTACAACAGTGTGAAACTCCAGGCCTGGCGGGCTTCTCTAAGACAGCGACCTTGGGGCTGCACCCTAAAGGCAGGAGGGGCCTGAGGAAGGAAGTGGAAGCAGCTGGCGCAGCAGGGGCAGCGGGCAGAGGGGAAATGGGAGGGGGTGAGGCTGTGGGGTGAGTGGGGCAGGGAGGATTCCGGATTTTACCCTAGGTAGGGTGGAACGGTCTGCAGCAGGAGCATGATGCAATAGGATTTACATTCTGAAAAATCACTCTGGCCGCTGAAAGAATGATGGAGGGCTAGGTGACAGGGACAAAGAGCTACTGAGAAGCTATTTTGCAACAGCCCAGTGACAGATAAGGAGCAGTCAGAAGAGGGTGGTCGAAGCATTCAGATGAAACTTCGGCCACCCATCCTCCCCCTTTACATCAGGTGATTAAAATGTCCCTGTCCCCTCCCTGCCTGCCACACTCCCAGCGGACTCGCCTTTCGATCCCCCAAAGCTTGGCTACAGACCCAACGGCAGACCCAACGGCAGGACGAGGAGAAGCTGGAGCATGTTGGGCTTGACCGGGAGAGGAAGGGGCCAAGGACCTGGGGTGTCCAGTGAACTGAAGCAGACCCTCAGAAACGGGTTCTGCATTTGCTCAGACCCAGCACTGACCACAGGACCCCTGGCGAGGAGCAGTAGCACCTGCCCGCACACGGCGAGCAAGGATGGGTGTTCTGTTCCCCTCCATTTAGGATTCGCAGTTGAAAGAAACTTTGGGGGCTTTTTCTCCCTGCAGCGTCGAACAGGTGTTGGTGAAGGTGTTCTGCTCTGTTGCAGGCAATGACGTGCCCGGAGGAATGATTGTATCTAATCCTCCACCTACTTGCCAGGGCCTGGGGATACCCCAGGCTGGTATCTCCCTTCTCTGAGCCCCTCCTTAACTCCAGAAAGGCAGCCCAAAGTATGACCCCCTTAAACCTTAGGGGTGCCTCTTCCAGGGTTCAGAAGGATAATATCCTGTGTTCAGGGTCCCCTTCTCTGCTGCCTTCCCCTTCCCCAGACTTGGCTACCAAAGCATCCATCCTTCCCCACCACAGACTCCCTCCCTTTTTATTTTTAATCTCCTCCCACTTTCTATAAACACCCCCAAGTTAAAGACAGGAAATGGCTCCCAGGCCAGAATAAGAAAGACGATGTGAATGTCACTAAAGCAGGCGAACATCAATCAGAAGGGACACTAGTCAGCAGTGGAGTGAAAGGAAAGGAGTCTTAGAGAGAAATGCTGGCAGTGCACGCCCAGGGCTGCCCCGGGAGGGACTGGCCCGGCAGCCTGGCCCCCTCAGCACCCCCTGGCCCGCTAGCCTCCAGGGAGATGCGGCACCAGCCCAGGAGAGACTCGCTGTGATTGGGCATTCCAACCAGGCCACGGCTTCCCCCAGCTCTGATTCCAGTATCTGCCTGCAGCCCGAACAACGCACCTTCCCAGGAATATTCCCACCCACGGAGAGTCTACCCCTCAGGCCGTCACAAGCTGCCAAGACACCTGGTGACTCTGTGACTATAGTAAATTAAAAAGCTGGCAGACCGGCTCACACACAGCACCTCTGGTGAGGACAATCAAGATCAGCTGGAGCCGGGGGTCCCAGCAACAGTGACAAGGGGGAGCCTCTGGGTCTGCGAGGCTGACCGGCAGGGGCAGGACTGTGGGAAATCCGCCGGGGGCCGGGAAGGGGCGTGTGCCTCCTCTCAAGGATCCTGGAGGTCGGCCAGAAGCTGCTTCCCCTGGAGACACTGGTCTAGGGGAAGCCCAGAGAGGGAGGAAGAATGCTGGGTTCTGTGACCAAATCCCAACATGAATGGCAAACAGCAATGCCCCAGGAGCAGCCAGCCACCAACCCCAGGGGTCTGGTGGTCAGAGGACCCCGGCTGAGAAGTGAAGGAGCCACAGAGCGAATGGTGCACGCACCCGACGTGACAGCCCAGCAACAACTCATCACCTGACTGAAAGGCTCGTCAGTGGGGAGCAGGATGAGCTGCGTGGGGGACTGGATCCCGACCTGGATCCCAGGAACAAGCCCTGGAAACCCTCCAGGCGTCCCAGACACACGTGAGGTCCACCTCCTCTCTGCCAAGCCCCATCCCCTCAGACACCCCGCCTGGGTCTGCACTGCTGCTGAACGTGCCAGGGTGAGGTGACCATCCCCCTCAGCCCGTGGTGCCTGGACCAGGGCTGGTCACCAAATGGGAGGAGCTGCAGGGGCTGGCCCGGCCAGCAGACACAAGCTGGGCCCACCAGACCATCCCTCTCTGGGATTTCAGCTGGGACCAGACAGAAGGTCTGGCTGGATGGAAGGTCACAGGGCTGAGGTCTGGTATTGGCACCGCAGCCGAGAACGGGCCAAAATGGGAGGGGGAGAAAGACGGGGCAGCAAAGACAGACTGAAGAGAGAGGAGATGGGGGAAGGGCCCCCCAGGGAGGTGTGCGGGTGCAGAACGAGAAAGATGGCAGCACCTCACCAGCCCAAGAGTCCTTCCATCCTGACATCCCAGCTTCCAGCCCGCAGGCACCCCCACAAGATGTCAACTGACTTCTGCAACGCGAGCCACGCGCTCCCACGGGGCCTTGGCCTGTGCCTGCACCGTTTCCCCAGTTAACCAAGGACCTTCACCCCAAGCCTAAGAGGGAGACGGTATGATAATAAGCACCCCTTCCCCGTGGTCTGTGGTCAAGAGTGGGTGAGCTAATCAGATCAATCCCCTTACGGTCCTGGATTCACTTTAAGGGCTTGATAAGTGCTGGTGGTCATTATCACCACCATCTATACTGTCTAGAAGAGGAGACCAGCCCAGTGGACATAGTCACTTAGCCCCGAGCTCTCATCAGCCTCAGTTTGAGCCTGGAATACCGCCTTGCAGAGCAGTAACCTGCCCCCTCACATCATATCTAGAGTTGCCCACCCCCCAGGCTGCTGCCGGGCCACGTGCCCACCCTGCCTCTGGCTCCGGCTAGTTTCAGTGGCTTTCTGTTCCTCACACAGTGACAAGAACAACAGTCCATCATCCGGTTCAGAACATCAACAGCTTCCTGGGCAGTCCTGTAGGCCCCCGTCCACGGTTTCCTAAGCATGGGTCTGGGAGGGTGAGAAGGGCCCCCACATGGGGGGGCCGAGACCTCGCTAACACGGTGGTATTTGGGGCAGTGACGGTGACCTAGCATTTCACTGTGCCAGGCCCGGTGCACACCCACCCCGCTGGATGAGAGGGGCTCATTCACACCTCCAACCCCCGCCCCACCCCACCCAATAACCGGCTTTAGCTAAAGAAAAGAAATAGCAAACCACATGCGAGTCTGCTCAACCACAGGGAATGGATCAGAAATGCTTATCCACTCTGAAGGCAGGTTTTAAAACAAGCTACTCCCTGACGCCCCAGCACCCGGCTGGAAAGGGTGCAAGGCCCTTTAGAGCTATGGGGTCTGTGACCTTCTCCTTTCTCCTAAGAGGCAAAAATAATGGTGACCATTTGTACAGCTCGTACATGACCAAGTTTAACAAACCACTGGCAAGGGAAAAAACAGGCCTGGGGGCTCCCTGGCGATGTGTCAGCCGGTTCAGCCCAACACCCGCTCAGGCGAGAGCACCTCAAAATAGCCTGGCTCAGCAAGGGGAGAAGACGAACCCTCTGTCACTTCTGATCTCAACCAGACCCTCCTGCCCTGAGCCCCGGCCTCCTTACTCACTCACCCCTGACCTCCAGAGGTAGCCCAGACACCCCTGCTGGTTCTCGGAGCCGAGCTAGGACGGGAGGCAGGAAGTAATCAGGAGACACCTACCTGCAGGGCCATAGGAGCCCGCTGCGCTGACCGGGAAGAGGACGTCGGCGTCGCCGTGCAGCACCTGCAGCGGGGCCCAGCTGTGCATCTGGGAGAGGCAGGTGTTGCCATCCAGCGGCCTAGAATGAGACAACACAGTTGCGTGAGGGGCCAAGAGCCCCTGAGGGCCCCCATCATCATGAGCCTCTGCTGGGCCTCCAGAAGTCCCCTCTTGGGAACCAGCCAGGCTGTGACGAGGCTGAGAACAGAAGCTGGCCTGAGCCGGGAGTAAGGAGCGTGTGGTCTGGGAGCCAGACCTGCACTCACTCTTTCAGCCAGTGTCTACCAAGCACCTGCTCCATGCCAGGCGGTGTGCTCACATACATTTTGTGCTGAAAAAGAACCAGCAAACAGGGTACATCCTGCCCTTGTGGAGCTTAAAGTCTGCTGGGGGATGTGGGCAGGAATCATACAAAGGGTGTGAAACGGCAGCTCAGATCCGTGGAGCTGGCGGAGAAGGTCCACATGCTCCAGGAAGGAAGCGCCGTGCACTCCGGGTTCTGAAATGACGTCAGCCACGTGACCCTGGGCGGGTGGACTTCGCCTCACTGGTTCTCAAACCCTCGTGAGTAAAAGGGGAGCATCAGATCAGGTCGTGTCTGGGTCCTTTCCGAGAAAGGGGGTCAGCTCGAAGGTTAACCAGGCTCATATGATCTGTTGAACTGTCACCTCATCCACCAAGTACAAAACCAACCGGTACGATCTTCGCAATGCAGGGCTGGCTCAGTTCAATTTGTCTGAGAAATTATTTGCCCATTGAGCATTTGCCTCTGGGCAATTAGGCAACACTAATAAAGACCAGGAAGCATTTGTACAATACTCTCAAGTTTATAAAATGACTCTGTAACTCACGTGTAAATAAGACCAAAGCAGATCATAATCATACCCACTTAATAGAGCAAGGGAAGGAGGAAGGGAGGGATGGAGGAGGAATGAGGAGGTGGGGGGGGAAGGAGGGAAGGAGAGGGAGGAGGAAAAAAGAGATGCTGTGACTTGTCCAAGGTTATGTCTTCGACAGAACCAAGGCTTGTAGGATTCAGCCCAGGTCTTCCAAACCCAATTACAGTAATGGGTCTCCTGGCTGCTGCCCACCAGTTACACGATGCATATAGTTTCCTCTTTCACTCAGAGCAGAGATTAACAAAATTTTTCTGTAAAGGACCAGATAGTCAATATTTTCGGCTTTGTGGCCAAAAGTATACTTCATTGGTTTTTTTCCTTGTTCGGCTGTTGGGTTTTACAACCATTTAAAAAAACGAAACAGCCATTTTCAGCTTGGGTGTGGGTTTGCCGGCAGGCTACTATGCCAACTCCTCTTTCAAGGCCTGTCCTGTACACACTCTCCTTTCAGCCCTGTCAAGCTCTGGTCACACACCTGGGGATGTAATCCTCACAGAACTGTGCCAAACGTCTCCCTTGGTCCTGCAGGTAACACACGATAAGGCACAAAAGAGGAAGCACCCACACCTGTGTGCCCAGCAGCAGAGCCAGGTTCTGGAGTGAGCTTCGCTCTGTCTCTACCAGACCGCCCTCCTGGGGCTCCGCTCCAGCAGCTGGTGACCATGGGGACCCCCGGACACCCAGAGGCGACCACGGACTCCCCCTCATGACCAGATGGCAAAACCTTTTCCTGGCCACTGCACTGGCTCTGGGCAGTGGGGTTTTCTGCTGTTTCAAAGGGGACGTCTTATCACTTGCCAGGACACATGCAGAGCACGAGGTGATGTCAGGCCCTATCAGCTGAGGTTCAGACCCGAATGAAAGAGGCCAACGGCCACCACTTCAAAAACGAGTTATACTGAAGTGATTCCTGAGGCAAGAGACCAGTTCAGAACAGTGTCCCAGAAGGCTTAAAAACATAACAGCTCTTGCTTTTCATTAGAAAAGACACTTGTTTTAAAACCTACAAAATGCCCTAAAGTGAAGGGGGGAAAAACATACCCAAAGCCACACTGCCCCAAACACAACCATTAGTTGTGGGACACAACTAATAGTGAGACACTATTTTCCTTAGTGCCTTTTTTCTTTCTTTCCTCATTTACTTCTCTTTACAAGGTCGTAATGAAACTCTGTGTAGCTTTTTATAGTTTGCTTTTTCCATTCAGTGTTAATTCATAAGTTCATCTTCATGCTACTTGGCCATGCTTAAATGTCATTTAAGATGCTGAAGATCCTGAATGTTAAGATTTTAAGATGTAAACCACACACCACTCCGCTGTGAACTGCCCCGCCGTGGCCGCACATTTTGCTCAGCTCCACTGTTGCACTTCTTTTAAGTTAGGACGTTGGTACTTAGATGTGGCAACCTATACCCTGAGTCTCGTCCTCAGGGCAGATTCCCAGCAGTGGAATTGCTAAATCAAGTGGGAGAAACATGTTGAAGGCTCCTGACAGTGTATCAAACGTTTCCCGGAGGGCTGTGGACACCACCGGCTCTCCATCACGACCCCGTAGGCGCCAGCCCGGCACTACTCCTCAGTCAACGCCCACTAGGTGCCTGGGCGATTCCAGGCACTGAGGACACGCTGAGAGCAAGTCCCCTCCGCAGGGTGCTAACCCAGGCCCACCTTTCATCCGGTTCTCTTTTTAAATCTTGACTAATATCACGGTCAAAATACAGTGTCTGGTTTTGCTCTGCGGTTGCTTAACTGCTGGTCAAGTGTGACATTTTTCATGTTTGTACTTCATTTTGAGTTATGTTTTCACCCCCACTTCCCTTCACATCTAAAGTGACGGGAAAACCCCTTTCTATAATAAAGTTATTATCCTCTTTTAAGAAAAAGACAAGAAGCGAAGCCAACACTGGCAAATATAAAGGCAGGAGGGGAAAAGAGTTTTTCCTCAGTCATCAAAGAAGTGGTTTAACTGTCAGGAAATAGAGGTGTTGGCCGAATTTTTGGCCAACAGGGCATCTTAAAGACCATCTGAGCATTCGACTTTGCCATCCACTGTGTGCTTCCTCCTGGCCTGGCCACTTTCCCCTCACAAACCTGGCTGTGCTGTTTAACTGCTAAAGTTCTGGCCCCTCCAGGCTCCTCAACACTTCATGTGAATATTAGCTTAGAACCAAAAGGAAAAAGTAATACTCAGTAGGCCATCTCATCATTCCTCTGCTCTGTCCCCAAGATGCTCTACGGAATGTTCGCTCAAGAGCCCCCCTTTATGCCAGGGAGGGGCTGTCCATAATCCGCAGGGGGCCCAATAGCCTCCCAGGGCCCAGGCCCTGCAAAGGCCACCCTGCACTGTTCTGCGTTTCACACATCACAATGCTGGCGGCTACCCTGGCTCGCAAGCTGGTCTCCCTGCTCGATGGCTCCAAATCTAGCAGGCAGAGAAATGACTGTCTCTGAGGCCAATCAACTCACAGATACATTCACCTACAGAGACAGGGAAGGCAATTGGCATTGCCTAAAAGGACCAGATGAAAAACTGAAGGCAGGAGTGATGGTCAACTTCATGTGTCAACCTGACTAGGCCACGGGACCCAGACAGTGGATCAAATATTATTCTTGATGTTTCTGGGCAGGTATTTCTTAAGTGAGATTAAAATTTAAGTCAGGAGACTTTGAGTAAAGCAGATCACCCGCCATAATTTGGGCAGGCCTCCCCCACTCAGTGGAGGGCCTTAAGAGAAGAAGACTGAGGCCCCCCAAAGAGGAAGAAATTCTGCCAGCAGACCGCCTTCGGACTCGAATGGCAAGTCTTCCCTGGGTTTCCAAACTGCTGGCCTAACCTACCCTGCCGATTCTGGATTTTGTCACATTCTACAATCACGTGAGCCAATTCCTTAAAGTAAATCTCTCAAGATAGAAACACACACACACGCTATTGGTTCTGTTTCTCTGGAGAACCCTGACTAAAACAGCGGGTCACAAGCCTGGGTCCCAGGTCCAAAAACACTCATCCCCAGTGAGCAGGAGCAACGCTGCAGGGAAGCCACCCTAACAAACGCCGCAGGGGGAGAAAAAAGCCTTGTGCGTGAAAATACTCATTGCAGGATGGCTGATGATAAAAAACAAAAAAAAACAACCACCTACCAACAACCAAAATGCTCAACAATAGGGGAACCTTTAGCAAATCATGACATATTGATCTGACTGAGTATCAACCAATGGAGATTCAAAGTTATGCAGAAACATGGGAAATATCCAACAGCACATACAAACTTTGCAGCACAGCATAACCTAACCTTAATCCCAGTTTTGCCCGTTGCTTTGACAAATCTTAACTCTCTACAGAACCCGGTTCTTTCATCCATCAAGCGAGGGTGACCCCACCAACCCCCCTACGCAGCTCTAAGTATGAGGAGAAGGTAAAGCTGCAGCTTGCCGCGTCCGGTACCTCCCAGGCGATCGATAAGGCAACTTACACATGCTAGTAACACGGTGTCTGTGTAAGTGAAGACGAGGGTAAAAACCCAAAACAAAAACAGGCATAGTCTCAGGAGAAAGGAGAAAAAAACTCCTACTCGACCCATGAAAACGAGACGGTTAGGGCGAGAGGCGCGCTGTGCCCCTTCCTCACACCACGGGGGCTCGGGATCTCCATTTCACACTTTCACGGGCAGGTTCTGACGTCAGCCGTGATCAGGATAACACTACACACTGTAAAACTCAGGTGAAGAGGCAGCGAGTTTACATGGCATTAAGAGTAAGACCGAGCACAGGAATTATTACAAGAGCAGTGTCACAGCAGCCACAGCAGCCACAGCAGCCACAGCAGCCACAGCCGCCTGCGCTGTCCTTGTCGACGAGCCAGCCCAGGGCCAAAGACCCCACACACAGTACCCCATGAACTGGGCACTCGGCAAAGCAGGTGCCGTTTTTCTCCCAGGTCTCAGATGAGGCCTGAGGCTCTGGGAGGTAAAGTAACTGGTCCAACCTAGTCCAACCTAAGCCACGTAGCTAGGAAGTGAGAACCTTTGTCCCTGATACCAAGATCCAAGCTCTTTAACGATTTCCTCTTAACTTCACGTGCACCAAGCCCCTTCTGCAAGTAAAACTCTGCAACTCCAGTGTTAAGGTGTCAAGTGCAGGCAAATTACTCTGTGCGCACCCCTGCAGATAAACACAGAAATTACCAGCCCGTGACAATTCTCTAGAATACCCTGCCTCTCTCCTGAGCTTCCTGTGTTAGTGGCAAGTTAGAGATGTGAACAAAATGCAAGTGATAAAAATGGAAGACATATACATAAAGCAAGAATTTCAAGGCACACAGCTTGACACCAACTTTGTAATAAGTGCCTTCAAATAAGATACTCCTTCTGCTTAGTTCTCAGGAGAAAAGCCAGCTAATGCTCCTTCCTCCTAAATCAAGATTTGAAAAATGAAAACTTGCAGTCTAATGCCACCCCATCCTGCAGGAAGAGAACTGTACCACCCTTCCTTAAAAGCTCAAGCAGAACTTACTTCTCAGGCGACTCCGAGTGGCCGGAGCGCTTCCTCCCCAGTCTGTCCCCGTACACGTCATCCTCGTTTTCATCCACGTCTTCATCGTCGATGCTTTTCACATCAAGCTTCTGATACCCACACTCCCCGTTCAAAGACAGAGAATCAATTTTCCACGAGTTGCTGCTCTGGCTTCCGTTGGAATTGGGTCCAAAAGGGCTCTCAAAGGCTGACATGATATTGATCGAGGAGCGGTCGGAGTTCTCCTCTGAGCTCTCCCCTGTCCCAGGCATCTTCTTAAAAACATCACCAGAGCTCTGCTCATCTTCCTCGTCATCAAATGAGATGATGTTGGTCACCTTCTTTTTCTTCTTCCTCTCCTTTTTACATTTGGCATCTGGCAAAAGATATAGGATAAGAAAAAGCAGTCAAGATAAAGTGAGGATTGAACCATCCTGCCTCTAGACTGTGGGAAACCCTCTTTTACTAAAAAGTAAATTTAAGGTAAATTCAGATTTTTAAATCCTTGGGGGAAAATATCTGTCTACAGGAGACTGAGCAAAATGGATGTGGGGCTCTACTTCTGATTTAAACAAATATGCCACAGAGCATACATCACAATCATGCCTTCTAAGCAGTCCTTTGAGTCAAAGGATGAATCATTACTGAGATGATTTTTACTGTTTCACTTTGGAAAACACTCTCACGGCTGGGAGATGAGACCAAGAAAACCCGTTTGGACACTGCAGTCAATTCTTTAATGGCCCCAGTTCCTCCCAGCCCTGCACAAAGCCCCATCACAATGGGACACTGCTGCTCCTCCCATCAACAGCGGTGTCTATTTCTCCACCCCCCTGAATCCAGGCTGGCTTAGTGCTCTGCTTTTAAGAACAGAATGTGGCAGGAATAACGAAGTGTGAGTTCTAGAGCCTGGGCATCAAGAGGTCTTAGACCCTCTGGAATGCTGCCCTGAAACTACACAGAAGAAGCCGTTCTAGCTTATGGGAGGATGAGAGGCCATGCGGAGGAAAGCTGAGATGCCCCAGCCAGCAGTCAGCACCAATTCCAGATGCATGAGTGGGGCCATCCTGGATCTTCCAGCTCAGTCACCAGCAGTCCCATGAGGGAGCCCAGGGGAAGCCAGCAGAAGAACCATCCTGCCAATCCATGGAGTCATTAAAAAAAAATAATAATAAACTGTGGTTCATTGTTTTAAGCCACTACCTTCTGAAGCTGTGTATTAGACAGCTAAGGCTAAATGAAACCGAAGTCAAGACTGCCTTGGTGACCAGCACTTAGATGAGCCAGTTTGTTCACCCATCTCAATCATCAAACTTGGCTATGAGACACTTTGAGACAATTCCAAAAACTCCGATCTATCTAAACGTAGGTCATGCTTCACCAATGTGTCACAACTCTGAGATAATGTCAAAAGCAGGGTTCCCAAAATGGATGGAGAAGATACTTCTTTGGGTATACAAGTTCCAGCACCTCTGTTACACAAAGTTATCAACAGTCCTGTTCTACGTCATTCGCATGTGGGGCTCTTTGCTTGAGAAGAAGGCAAGACAGATAAAGCCAGTGCGCAGCAAAGACTCCACGGGACTCTTCAGTTTTCACCAGCATTAATAATTCCAAAGAGGTGCCCATGATCACCGCCTTGTGTAAGGGATCTGAGAATACCAGGACGAAGTCTTTAAACCTCAAATTTCCAATTTTGCTATAGCAACATTGTGGATGTCCCAGAAAGCTTACAGGATATTGTAAACTTCTTGCAAAATTAACGTGAACTGAATCAACGTTCTTCTGCCTTCCTGCAGCCTACAGTCAAAGCTGATCACCCCCTCCCTTCCCCTGGCCACCACTAAAATGTCATACCCCCAACAGTATACATTCTCCAAGCATCCTATGCTGGGCTTCCAACCCATTTATCGGAAGGATGAACAAATGATGGATGGGGGAATAAACGAATGAAGATCAACCTCATCTGGCTTCATGTGACCATCACGCCCCTGCCTCCCCAGTCTGCTCTGACTGTGCTGATACCCTGTCATCTTCACATCTCTCAGATCCCTTTCCGAATCAACAAGGGTAAGAAAGATGAACACAAACATGAACTGAAAATGTGAGTGCAGCAGATTTCCCTCCCTTGGCACTTTCAGGTGATGAGGCACATCCACCCTCACCCACCCCTCTGCTTTCCTCCATCTGCCCACCCCGCTCACCGGCACCGACGTGCTTGGACACGACAGGCAGGGGGTCGGTCTCCTGCTCAGGCTTGATGAGGATGGAGACAGCAGAGGACGCCGTGATCTCCCTGAAAAGGCTGCTCACTCCTTGTGTGGATTCCTTCAGCAAGGAGGTCACATTCTGCGTGGATTCCTTCAAGAGGTCCGAGACGGTAGGAGCAAACTTACTCTGCCCGTTTAAATCCTTGTTGTCAATGTTAATCGCGAAGAGGATGGAGTTCAGACCTGCCCCAGAAATGGAATGGAGTGTCTGCTGTTGAACAGTCACACCTCCAACACGATAAACAAGCTGCAGACTTTATAGCACACAAGAGGGGACACACTCATCTTAAACGTGGATAAAAACCTCCCACAAAACTGGGGTCAGTAGACGCTATCACTGGAGCTGGGTCTTTCCAAATTCACTCCCTGTCTGTCAGAAAGACAGATGCAAATAAGGAGCCAAAATCAATTATACTTCCATTTAAAAAAATTAATGAGATGAATAAAAGGCTAGTCCTCTCTAGCTCAGCAAATAATAATGAAAAGAAAAAAATAATAAAGTCAACTAAGGCATAAGTTGTGAAGTCAGACTGCCCGGGACGAATCCCAGGACTGCCGCTGACGACTATGAGAACTTCCTTAGTCAAGCCGTTCATACCCTCACTGAGCTCCAGTTTCCTTATCTATAAAACGGAAATGATAATCTCACAGAGTAAGTATTAAGACCATCACTCACCAAAAACAGCTCCGTGAGCAATCAAAAAATGTGCACCAATATCATTACCATTAACACTCTGGGCAAAAACTTGCACTGGTATCCTACGGCCTACAGAGGACCTCATGGTCACCTGACTTCTCCTTATCAATGGACAAGCCTAACACAACTCTCAAAATATGGGACTTAGTGTCAACTTTCAGGAAAGAGAAAGAAGGAGGCAACAAAGGATTTGGAAGGAAGCAAATTACCCACTTCTGTTGGGCTCACCCTTTGAGTGAGAGTCAAACATTAAACAATGTAACAAGTCACCAACTAAAATCAATCCAGGGCTTTGGCGTTGACAAATCATGTACTTCAACTCTATTGCATTTGAGTCTGTCACAGCCCTATAAAGTTGACTGCTGTGCTATCTGGGTTCCCACTTCGAAGAAGAGGAAAGTAAAGGTAAGAAAGCTCACAGGATCTACCCAGGCCGCCTGCCAGAGAAGGGTACAGCCAGGCCTCAAAGGCAGGTCTCCTGTCCCCAGTTCCCTGGATCTTTATATTACACTTGCAAAGCCACAGCCCAAACCCTCAATCCCATGCTTTCCTACCCAGGGTATCAAATTCTAGAGAAATGGACTCAATGCTCATCGCCACTAAAGGAAGGACAGTGGTGAGTGACTCATTAAGTCGGCGAGGGATGGGGAAAATCCCAGCATCCCTTGGAGCTATCAGTTCATGCCCAGGCAGCCTCGTCTGCTCACCAAGCTTCACAGGACCCAGCGCCCCTCGCCCTGGCCAGGCTTACCAGCTGCCATGGTAGGAAGCATGCTAGACCTTTCTTCGTCCATCACAAAAGCCCAGTCTTCATAAAAAGTGCTGCAAATTGAAAGAGAGAGAAGGAAAGCTCTGAACAGTGGTCCTCTGCATCCATTAGCCAGACCTACCTGGAAAACCCGTGCCTGGTCATCCCAGAGTGGATGGATGAGGTCTCTGCTGGGCTGAGGCTTCTGGTTATAAACAAAGGATTGAACACATATATCCTACAACTTCCTCATTGGTCCCCAGAGATCTCTAGAGTTCCCTGAGCTTGAGAACACCAGAACAGGCATGAGATTGTAAACATGGTATTTATAAAGCAGAAAAAGAGAAAGGGGACAAAACGAGAGGGGACTTCCACTCAAGCAATGTCTCCGAGAGACAGACAGGAAATCTGAACTGGCCCACAGGGCCCCCTTGATTGGGCTAATACAAGAAAAGACAATTTCAGAAAGAAATTATAGAGTTCCATGGCTCTATCAATCAGGGCACTTGTGTGTAACACCTGCGTGGGCTGTAGACCCAAAAGCCCAGGTTATCCCTGGAAAAGGCTAGGAAGCTAAAAAGGCTCACAGATCTAAGCGGCAGGGGGAGAAGGGGACCAGAGAGGCCTGCAGGTCATCCCACTGTCCACAGTCAGTCGGCAATGAATGGTGCAGCCAGCGCTCACAAGCAGGGCCCCCAGCCCCATTCCCCAGCTCTTTATCTGACCCCCTGCTAAGCAAGCACAAGCAAGTATCGTTATCTCCCCGACTTCTCCACCAGGCCCGAGAACTCTAAACTAATGGACTCAAAACTCAATTTCACTAAAGCACTGTCAGTGATGGGTGACCTGTGGTTCAGCAAGAGACTGGGGACACAGCTGCTGAAGCAACTGAATACAACTAACAGGAAGAAAAGAGAGACCCCTCACCTTCAGCATGCTTACCTGGCCAAATGTCAGTGGACGCACAGACTATACGCTCCAGCTGGCAGTGTGGCTGCCCCTCCGATTCCCATAACTGTGATTCTTTACAAATTGAGGCCAGTTTTTATGCATGTAAATGAATTTGGTTTCCCCACATTGAGTTAGAGTGGCCAGTGATTTAGGTAAGTTCAACTGTGATTCTTAACAGCTGATTCATTTCAACTGCTCACTGTTACATTCAACCTTGATACTGAGAGTACAACTCTGAACTACAGTTGTCCCTTGGTATCCATGGAGGTTTGGTTCCAGGACCGGTCACGGACACCAAAATCTATGGGTGCGTATATTAAACAGCATAGTGTAGCTGGCCCTCCCTATCTGCAAATTCTGCATCCATGGCTTCAACCAACCACGGATCTTAAACGTAGTATTCAATCCAAGGCTGCCTTAATCCACAGATACAGGACCTGGGGATATGGAGGGTAGACTGCACTTGTGAAGAAATCACCTGCTGTAAAGAGCTTCACCAAAAAAAAAACAAAAAAAACCTAATGTAAATGACATGAGTATGTTCTCCTTAATGAAAGCTGGTTAATGTTCAGACAGACATTCACAGCCTCCCGACTCAGGTCCTAAGCAGCAAACAGGTACAGCCAGTACCCGTTGTCCTGGCCCCCATCCCTCCCATTTCAGACCCACAGGGTCTGAACATACAAGTGGACAAGGAATCACAGGCAAAATCAATAGGGGAACTTCAAGGGTAATTTTTTAGAGCCTTCATGCACAATCCTATAACACCTAACAAACTACTGGTAGAGAGGTGACCACAAACAGCAGAAAAAACAGAGGAGACTTGAGCCCGGGAACACATGGCAAGATGTGAAATCAAGGGACTGCATCACGGCACTAATGAAATGCCAGCTTATTGAATTAAACGAAATTTCACTGCTAAGGATCTGGGCACTACTGATGCAGAAGTTATTCAAGGGACCAGGGCAGAACTGATCACTGTCCCTTTGTATCATCAGGTGACACAAAACAACACATCCAGTCCACCCTTCTCAGAGGGGAAATAATAGCCAGAAGGGGAAGAGGGGTAGGGAAGGAGGGAGAGAGAGAGAGAGAGAGAAAGACAAAGAGAGAGAGAGATCATAAACATCAGCATACAGGAAAAAACACCCACATGATAGCAGTTATGTCTGTGTAAAGTATGAGTGATTTAAGGTTTCCCCAGCAGGTTCTACAGCACTGTCAAATGTTTTTGACGGGAAGGTGGCTCACTGTACTATCACTGATGCATATTCAGTTCCTTCTCCCCATCGCCGTGGGATAACCATACCTTGCTCAACCTGCTGAGCTTGCCTGTGGCCGTGTGACTTGACAGCCAATGAGATATGAGTGGAAGTGAAGCATCACGGTGCAGAAGCTTGAAGAATCAGGGCTTCATTAGCCATAGCCCCTTGTCCTGCCTTGGTAATCAAGAAAGTGTATGTAGAGAGACAGTCTCTGTCAGCCTGGGTCCCTGCAGTGAGACAGCACCCCTAGCCCCGCTCACCCATGACAGACATGTAGCAGGGGAAGAAATAAATTTGGCTGTCTCAAGTCACTGAGGTTTACACGACGCTTGTTAGGGCAGCATAACCTGGCTTATACTACCTGACAGAGTAAACTTTACGATCAAGAAAAAAAGAAAACATAATAAAATGGGGGATTGTTTTTAGTAACAAATAACTTCCTCTCCCCAGCCTAAAACTTCCCTATTTCTTTCAGTCGGTTTGGGGTTGATTAACCTCAAAAAAACCAGAAGGAGCTATACAGTACCCAGCCCACAATGAAAGACACAACATGAGACAGGGTACTAAACACTCAGCATCTAAAGAGAAAGAAATTCTGAAGCCGAAAGAAATCTAGATTAAAATTCCTCTAAGTGAGGTTCAGGCTGTGTCCTAAGACCAAAGCTCTCTCCACACCCGAGGCCTTGATAATAACTAGCATTACAGGGGTGCCTGCTATCAGCTGCCACGTGGAGCCCCTCACAGGCATCCTGGTTTATTCCCAGGTCCACCGGCCCCCCAGCGCAGCTGAACAAGGCGAGGCTGTTTAAGAGGGAAGCCCGGGTGGTGCCCCGAAGCTGGCGGTCAGGTCTGCGGATGTGCCCCCCGCCCCCGCAGAGCCCCCTCCGGGTACCTGAGCCTGCCGCGGTCGGCCAGGAGCGTGTGCAGGTAGCGCTCCAGGGAGTGCTCGTTGAGGGCGCAGCGCAGCCAGGCGCGGCCGCGGCCCACGTCCGACGCGATGTGGCGCAGGGAGTAGAAGCGCTGCAGCTCGTGCTTGCTGAGGACCTCCTTCACGTAGAACCAGAACACGGGCTCTGCGGAGACAGCGGGCGGCGCCGCGGCACCGGCCCGGGGCGCTCATCACTTCCACAGTAACCGCCCACCGGCGTTTGTCAGGGTTGTAACACAGTTACTCCTTACGCACTTTTAAAGGAAGATACCGAAGAGCAGACCAAAAATAAAAACGACCCCCAATCCACCATCCGGAGACAACCGACATTCGCAAGCCAGTCTTTATGCCTGCACCTGTATTTTTTTTTATAGAAAATTGGCATCTGTGATCACTGAATTATGACCCCAAAGATAACTATACCCTAATCCCTGGAACCTGTGAATGTCACCTTATACGGCAAAAGGGACTCTGCAGATGTGACTAATTTAAGGACCCAAAATGGAGAGGCTATCCTGGATAGTCCCCATGGGCCTGATATAATCACAAACGTCTTTCAAAGAGGGAGGCCGAGGGAGATCTGATGCAGACAAGAAGGCAGCGTGACCAGGGAAGCAGACACTGGAGTGATGCAGCCATAGCCAAGGAATGCCAGAAACTGCCAGAAGCCATCAGAAGCTGGAAGAGGCAAGGGACAGATTCTGCCCTGGAGCCTCCAGAAGGAACGAGCCCTGCCATCCACCTTGACTTCAGCCTAGTGAAACTGACTTTGAACTTCTGCCCTCCATAACCGTAAGAAAAATTAATTTGTGTTGTTTTACACCACAAAGTTGATGGCAGTTTGTTTGAGCGGCCATAAGAAACTACTGCACCATCATACTGTGTGTTGTACATGTGTACATGCGCATACATATAAATACATACACACATATACAAACTCTGCACCCTGGCTTGTTTCTTTTATCTAGGTCATGAACATTTTCCTGTCACATTTAAAGATCTCTGAAAACATGATTTTTGATGGCTTCCCAGTTAAACACAATCTAACTATTTCACTACTGCTGGAAACATGATGCACTGCCAACTTTCCCTACATACTGCTTTGAACATCCCTGTACATGACTAACTGTCCTCATTTCTAGTCCCTTAGGAGAGAGTTCCATAGGTATGAGAATAGGAACAGATTTAGGCTACAAAGGAAAGCTAAGAAGTTTGGTTTTATCCACAGAAAGTCATAATACCACCTCACATCCTGCCTTTTTGGTCCACATGCATACAGACGTTTCTCATAGTTGTAATTCTAGTGTATACCTAATTTGGTGATCAATCCTCCTTACTTAACAATGACTCATCAACACTTTTCATGCTGCCAATAATAATAACAGCAACAATCGTGACAACCACTACTACTTACTGAGCATTAGCCACGTACCAGCCATTGCACTGAACACTTTACATCCGACCTCAGTCCTCAGAACCACCAAGACTACCTCCGTGTCAAAGACAAGGCCTGAGGCCTGGACAAGTGAAGTAACTCGCCCAGTGATCCCCAGTAAGCAGTAGAGACAGACCTCAGAGCTGTCTCCCTGCAAACCACATGCTCACACTGCCCTGTGAAGTGAGGGGGGCTCTGCCTTCTTCAAAATGATCGTGTTCACCACTGCTTAACATCCCGAGGGAGAAAATGCTGTGTCTGCTGCCAGATGGAGATTCCAGTCCAGGAGCTAAAAAGACTCAGGACTCCTCTAAGAATGTGTTAAGATCTTTGCACCTTCCTTGCAGAAGGATGCAAATACACACATCACCATAAACTGGGCACCAGGTTAATAAGCTCACTGTGATATTTCAGTTCAGCTCAACGAGCAGGGACTACATTCCTATCGGGAGCCATGAGCTGGGCGAGGCCATGGGCCACCAGGAAGACCAGAAGAACTCGTCCCTAACAAGTTTCTGGCCTAGCAGGCAGGGCAACAGGTGAAGAGATCTTCAGTGGAATGACCCTGGGCAAGCCCCTAACTAGGCAAAGCTTCAGACTCTTCTCCCTTAAAGTCCCAAAGTGCAGAATCGCCCAGAGTCATTGGGATAACTGGAGAAAAGGGAGGTAAAACACTGAGTGTGATGCCCAGCCCATAATGACCAACCACTGTTTGTTTAATCATTACCTTCTTACACGGGAACATGTGTGCTGTTCCCACTTTTCCTTTTTCTGTTAACAGCATCTAAATGTGTCTGGACGTACAAGGGCATGTATGCATTTGTAGATCAAGCCAGCCTCTGAGACCATTTCGAATAAATGTCTCACATCAACTGGTAAAATCACCAGCAGGTTGGGAATGTAGTTTGTTGCAGCCACCGTGGAAAACAGTATGGAGATTCCTCAAAAGACTAGGAATAAACTTACCATAGGACCCAGGAACCCCACTCCTGAGCATATATCCAGAAGGAACTCTACTTCAAAATGACACCTGCACCCCAATGTTCATAGCAGCACTATTCACAATAGGCAAGACATGGAAACAGCCTAAATGTCCATCAACAGA